TTTGCTGCCGCCGGAGGTTTCCCCGCCGGAGAGGAGCCGACTCGGTGCCGCCGTCGTGCAGCATGCCCGCATGAGCCACGGACCGGGCACCAAACCATCGCACACACGTGCAGCAAACCCGGGGAAATCGGATTAACGATGGTACATTTGGGCATAAAAACCTCACCTCGTACCCAGCCGTTCACAGGACTGTTTTCAAGACCCTCTCTCCCTTCTTCCCCCCGACACGCGGCCTCTGCCTTTCCTGAGGCTGTTTCACATCCACTGAGCCCCGTTCTGTCCTCCCTCCCTTCCTCCTCAGCTCTTCAAACCCAAGCGTTCCAACGGAACAACAGACCAGGTTCCCAGAGGAGAACCAGAGGCCAGCTCTGACCACAAACCCGGTCTGCGGCGCAGAGAGGGAACGAGTCCCAGGCTCATGACAAAGGAAAAAACACCTTTGAGGGAGCGGGTTGAAAACAGAAGAAAGAAATGAGGAATTCAAACAAGTTTTGTGCCAAAAACGTGTTTTTTCAGCTTTTTGCTGCTGCTGAAGCCATGACTTCCATGTTGATCCCCTGGCTGACAGCGTTTGAGAGCAGCCGGGCCAGCAGAGCCGCCGCAGTCATGATTGAAGGAAGCCTTTAAGCTTCCCTGACAATGCATTTTTCTTGGAGATAAAAAATGAATGCTGCCAGCATGCAAATCTCTCTAAATTAGGCAAGGCCCAGCTTGCTGGAGCTGCGACGCTTTGTGATGACAGTCATTAACTTTAGCAGAAGAAAAGAGGACGCGGGAAAATATTCTCAGCTACTCCTTGTCCCAGCTGGGAGTCGTTGCTCGGGGAAGCGTGGGGGTTTGGCACGCTGACATCCCAAATTACGCTGCCGGGGCCAAAGGGTAACAGAAAAACCAGCCGCAGTCTGTGGGTCAGAGGGAAATCCCTCGGGCTTTCTGCAGTTCCCGCAGGGGGCACGTGGGGGTTTCCCCCCATTTTGTACCAGTGGCCGCAGTGCTGCTGTAACAAGCCAGGCTCCCAGTTCCAGACTGGGACCACCCATGTGTCACAGAACCAGCACAGCCCTGACCTAGAGCTGGCTGCAGAGGGAAGTCAGTGGGATTTGGGCATTTCGCTGATCGCTCACCTCCCCTCCCAGTTCCGAGGGTCCCTGGACAGACTCACTCCATCCCCTTCGGAGCGCGGCGGCCGCCTGGCCCGTGCCCACCCTGGCCGGTCACCCCGGCTCCTCTCCGGCGGGGCTG